GCACATTTTACTCCCTTTAAAGGGGGGGGGGGAGGGGTTCTGGGTCACAAAGTTGCAAGAATGGATTGGAGGGAAGGACCTGATTTGCAAGTCATCCACACCTCCCCCATCCTCCTACCAAAGACTGAAAAAACAAACCCAATTTCCCTGAGAAACTGAAAAATCTGAACATCTAAAGGGTCAGTGCAAGGAATGCAGGAAAGGGGTGGAGCAAACAAACTAGAAGAAGAAAAAAAAAGTTAAGTTTTGTTGCCTAAATGCTTAAACACACGGTGCTGAAATGTTTAATCAAGACAGGCAGACTGCTTTCATGAGGTAAGCACCAGCACTGAAAAGAAGGCCCACAACAGAGCTCTTTCATTAACATTCCAGAGTTCAGAAACCTACCCAAACCAAACACTCAAGGTTAGGCTAACGCAGTGCGATGTTTACACGCACTCCAGTATGATTACTCAGACATGCGCACACTGCTACTTCCTAGTATATCAACACGTACAGGCCATACACACCTGGCATTTTGTTTTAATATCTCCAGTGATACCTTTAGGCTAAATGTAGACATTTTATAATGTATAACCACACCCTTGGATGGCAATTAACTGGTTGCCTTCAGCTGTTAGTTACCGTTAGCCTGACTGCAGACACGATGTGTGTGTGTTCTGGAAGGTGATCCTGCTTTCACAGAAACATTTAGCAGATGATACCAAGGCCAACATCAACCCTTCACAACTCAAGCCTAGTTCATGCTTCACTTTACCACGTATTGTTACGGCCCACAGTCATGTGCTCGGACTCTGGTACATAGTATATTTGCCAGTTGGCACAGACAGTCACGGTTGGCACTGTACAGCAATCCTATTCTGACAGACTAAGAGGGCAGATGTATTGCAATAAATACTAGCAGTATAGTTAAATTAGTAAATGTATTAACCATTTGAAAACTTATGCTTGGGCAGTATTACAGTAATATGATAGAGCGCCATTTTGAAATCTTAGACAAAAATTACCCCCTCCGTCCCCCAGCAAATTGCTTAAACGAAAAAGGGATTTTAGAGTGACAGAATAGCGGTACTGGACAATATGAAAAATTAGACGCCTCCAAAGCTCAGTCATTACAGAAAAGGAACCAAATCAACCAATGAGATCAAAAACAAATTGCATGCTAAAATGTACACATACCACCACTAATGTGAATTGTATATGGAAAGTTTGTGTAGTGCAGGACAGAGAATTAGTCTTTCTACGCCTTCAAATAAGATACATCAACTACTCTTTCTGCCACCTAGTGGAAACACTCAGGCAGTGTCCTTGCAGAACGATGTGCAAAATGTCTGCCTGACACCAAAATCTGGGCTGCATGCAAAAAGTCCAGTGGATAGGCCTGACGACAATTTAAGGTCACTCAACCTGTGCCCAGACTAATGGCACGTGGAAAGGTGAAGTATGAATTGGCCTTTAAAGTCACTGGACCTCAGGACACGTCACATCTGCAGCCCGAAATCAATTAGCCAGCAGCATCAAATGCTTATTTCACTAAAGCAGGCAAACTATAAACAGAGACTTGAGTCATTCTGAAGCTTACTGAACAAAGTAATTTCCTGAAAGATTTAAGTTACCATTTGGGGACGAACAGTGAAAGAGAATTAGATGTAGGTGTAACTATGGACACACACACACACGACTGATGTGAGAATAAGAATGCATAGGGGATCTTGTATTACAAGCACAAATGGTAGGCGTGTCACCAAAATCAAAACACAGTGACAATCCCACAGAGAACAAAAATACATGGAAAAAACCCAAAAATCACACAGTCCAAGTGTAGATGATCCAGGAAGGCTAATAACTGGAACAGCCTTATTGAACTGAGTAACTAAGGGAAGCAGCTAGTTTCCCCAAGTAGAATGACAAACGAATGGTGGACAGCAAGCTTACAGGTCCAGAGCAAATGGTAGTGTAGATAGCACAAACATAACTATACACTGACAGTGCCTTGGAACACAGACAAATATCTTTAATCCCTTCCACAGAAACTCCAAACCTCCACTCCATTCTTCTTCCCAGTACAAGGCCTTATGGTTAAATCAGAATATAAAGGGATGTGGTCCACTGGAAAGGTGAGCGCCTCCTGGTTCACGGACGAGCACATTTCACCAAGAGATGGGGGGGGGGGGGTTACAACCCTTGGTGGCCCTAGGTGATTCAGAATTTATGAGTGGTGTCACATTACATGACGTGCCTTGGAATGAGTTCAAGAGTGGAAACAGAAGACTATTGTGCATTTCTAATATGAAGCCAATGTCGACTATTCTTAAAAAGAAATTAATGACTCACTGATAGATCTTTTCCAAACTCACTCATTCCACCACCATCGTTCAGGTTGACCTACTAGATGGTTCATATTCAGGTTATAGTTCAAGCAGCAACATAGTAGACTTTGCACTTGATGAATAAGATGATTTAGCATGGCATAAAATTGAGACCAGACATAGCCTTCCCTTTAACAAGCAGATTCCTCTAGATTTGCTGATAGTCCTAATTCCTGGCCTGGAGTCAGTTTTGCACAGAACAATGCCATTTGTAGAAAGGCAGCTGCCCAGATTCTTTCCCTGATAGCTGAGGGTCATTCGGCCACAGAAAAAACCTTAATATACCACAAAAAAAAAAAAAACCAACACACAGACACCCCAATAGGTCTCTGAGCAATTGTCTCAAATGTCTGCTGGGCAGCACAGTGTCTCACTTAGGTACGGTTAGCAAGAGTCACACAAGGACTGAATTCTTATGAAAATCACTCATTTAAAATTAACCACTACTACTACCTGTATCTTTTAAAAAT